CACGTACACCACATGTTTATCAGAATAGACCAGATTTAAACAAATTAAAGCAGACCATATAAAAGTATTAGTCTCATTACTCTAATGTAAACATACGTTCCATTACACAACTAAAACTACTAGTACACATATTTCCATATATTGATTTTCGATTATATCTAGAAGTAGTATTATATGTTTTCTTAAATAAGAATATTTATTATAATCCTGAAACAGAATTGCCATACATCACTATATTTACAAAAACCAACTAATTTTTACTCATATTTTAAAAAACTGCCCTATATATTGGGTGTCTTCTATGTGCACATATATTATATACTTCGTATATACTAGTACATGTCTCCTAAAATCTAATTACAATCTAAAATACTCCGTATATGTTAAATGTGTAAGAGGAATAGCCATAATATAGTAAATAAGTTAGTTAATTTGTTACTTTATATTCAGTCCATGCGAGAAATTAAAATTCTTCAACAGTCCTCTCACAACCTACATCTAGTTAAACTATGCATTATTTTCATTAGAGAAATGCCCTCACATTCCGTTATAACTTGAATATGTACGGTATAAAATGATGAACTAATATATAAGATCACAAACTATTCTTTCTACTGAATTAAAATCTTAGAATGTAGCTTAATATATCACGGAGTAATATACGTAGTACTACGGAGTATAAAAAAGAAATAGTAACTGATCATACTCAGAATAAAAAGCATACGATTTTCTAGACTAATTTGCTCAAACGAGCCACTATCGGTCTCACGAGGGAATGTTAAACGTACCAACCAACTACAAAGACATAAATCATCACATAAGATTTACTTGTACACGTTAGATTTTTACCAAGGAAAATTGAAGGAATGACCAAGGTTCGAAACCCGCAATAATTGTGTGGAGGTTAGTTACAACTCATATGTGCTGGACTGGACCTCTTATACGTATGGGTAAAAGGTCCACCACTATTGGACTAATTGAATCATCGTGATCCTCGCATATGTCTTGTCGGGTCGGAGCGTGGGAGGCTTTCGGGATTGGCGACTCAACCTTTCGGAGGAATAAATCAACACATAAGACATTTGACTACTTCTATGAATTAACATTTTTTAAGATGAAAATAGTTTTTGAGCAAGATTTGATTGACATTTATCTATCCTTTACTTATTTAGTCTATTTGAGCTGAGAGGGATGCTGAGGAGTTTATTTGATCATATTGATTTCGCATAAAATAATAAATTGAAATTGTGGTCAGTGTGAGTTTCGAACATGTTTGGAAAAATTTAAGAGCGATCAACCGCCCCCCTCGATCATGGCTCCTCGATGGCTTGAACGGATCGGATCTAATATTTTATTTTTGTGTCTTCAATTGTACAGTATGCATGATTTTCTCCCGAAACAAAACAAACAGATTTAATTAATTTATTTAAGTAGATCTTCAATTCCCCTCGTTTCTGATGCGTTGTAGCTATTCAATTCATTCCCGAAAAAGTATGTATGTATATATATATCCAAAAAATAATGGAGGAGCTGAGCTAGGGGTGGTGGTTGAACGTGGAGGTGAGGGCAAAAGAACCAAAAAGAGTGGATGCTGTCTGCTGGACGCCGGGGGCAGCTACCGACCGAATCCCGGATATATGCCCTCACAATCTTCCATTCACGTTAACTAACACTTAGCCCATAGGGCCGGCCGGGGCTCCAATTTCTATCAGCATTTCCATATACTATGTATATATGATTTGCCAGGAAATTAATACTCCCTTCGTCCCCCAATTAAGTTCCTGGTTTAACTTCAAAATAAATTTGACTTTACTTTACTGTGGAGTGCACTGTTTTGCACTGTTTGACATTGTTTGGCACTGTTTTGATGTAGATAATTTGACAAATAAGGAAAGTAGTGAAGTGTGAACTTAATTTAAGGACTGCACAAAAAGGAAAATGAGAACTTAATTGGAGTTATGAGTATTTACAAACCCATGCAAGTCCAGCTGGCACCTGTCCATTAGACCATTACCCACCTCACACCATCAACTCCCTCCCCCTTCTTGCTTACACCATGCATACTCATTCTAGGGAATTTAACCGTTGACTGAATGGATGCCTTAGCTTAGAGTTTGATAGATATTGTCTCACTTCCTAGGAGTACGATAATAGTTTTTTTTTGAAAGAGGAGTACGATAATAGTTAAAATGACTGAATAGGGTGAATCTAGTTAAAATTTCAAATTATGATTGAAACAACTCAATGATGATTTTTTTTATTATTTTCGTATGCAAATTTCAGTCAATTTAGTCATAAAAGTAATTTTAAGATTACTTATTTTGATTATCACATAATTCAGCTCGATCATGATATTAAAAGTTAGTAAGTTACACTTCTGGTAACCAAGTCGTTTGATAATAAGGATAAGCCGAAAGCAATGATCATCAAACAAACTCTATATTAATTACCTCATCTCATTAGCTTTTCTTTTACTGAAAAAGGCTAATATTAGGGATGCTTTTATTGGACTCCTTTGAGTTTCAGAGCAGACCTAAACATACAAGAGATCAGACCATACAAGATTTGAACAGATCAAACTAGATTTTGACAATTTTAAAAATACAAATCAGACCAGTTCAGACTAGAGGTAAACAGCAATTTTGACCAGATTAGACCAGACTAGATCATAAAAGTTCAGTCCAATTATAAGCATCCTCAATGACTCTGAGCAGGAGAACTATAGCCATGACTTGTCAGACTAATAAGTATAACTCGTCAAATAAAGAATCATTTATCTCGTTGGAGTAATATGACTCGCTAACCACAACACAGACAACTACAAGCCAATACTGAACCTGAAATCTAATGACTAAAAGAAAAGGCACAATAGAATTATTGATATCTAAAGAAATAAGGGATGAACTAACACCACAAGACGAAGAAAAAACTTCAACGTTGATCCAGGACTGCCGAGTGCTCCTCGAGAATTGTCATGGACTCACTCTGCATCACACCCTGCGAGAAGAAAGTAGATGATGGGCGGATTTCCTCGACAACATGGCTCCCTCGACTCCACGAGGGCTTACAATCCTTAATACCCCTCCCGAGGGAATTGAGCGCATACTTCGGGAGGATAACAATGGTCTAAATTTGTTAGACCATACTAGTTTTGTTTGTATTGCACTCTTTCTTTTCTGATGTATCAATTAAAAATAAATTCTTGAATCCAAAGGCGCTAGTGATGAGTGGTAAAAGAACAAATCTCTATCCCTTATTTAATTTCTATCTCTTACTTTCTCCACCTGTGTGGTTGTGTCCTTTCTCTTTTCTATTTTTTCACTTTTACTCATTCTCTTTTCGAATTTGTCTCCTTTTCTTTCATATGTTTTCAAACTCTAACTACTAAGGATCAGATTCTCTGTCTTGCTATAGCAGCAAGGTACAGTGCGTGACTTTAATAGCCACGCGATTCATCCAAAACAGCCTCACCACCTCTCCTCTCCTATTGTCCCTGCCGTTGGATGCCGCAAGGCACCTCTACCGTGCAGAAGAGGATCCAAATACAACTACTACGTATGAAATAGCTTTAGTGACGGTAGAAAAGAACAAGGGAGTAGTAGATACAAATTCGTAGTAGATACAAATTCTTTCTTACGTTCGTTTACACGTAGTGTTATGTGTAATATTTTCACGTGGTTCAATGTTTTGAACAAGAAATTACATGAATATTAAAAGAATGATGGAAAAATGAGATAAAATCAATTACCAGTTTACCTATTAGGGCTATTACCTTCATATTGGAACATCAAGTCTTAATTATCAATTTAAAAGTTTATTACACTTTCCTCTTTTGATAATTTTTCATTTAAAAATATATCATATGTCCTTATTTAATTTTTTCTATTATTTTATATCTTATCTTTCAAAGTTTTACATCATTTCTCCAACTTTTTGTACATTAACAACCTTAATACTCTCGTACCATATGTACATCCAACACATTCATGAACTAAAAATATTCTAATCTCACATCAAAATGATCTAATACAACTAAGCTCGTGACTTTTTGGACTTTAAATTGAAAAAATCTATCCCACTCATCATCAACTCACACCATTTAATCATATCATGTCTTCCACGCATCCCCCCATCTATATATGTCGAACTTTCAATAATCTTTCCCCAATCCCCTGCCCACCCACGTACGTACGTCAAATTACTTAGCTTCCCGGGCGAGTGATAATAACATAATTAATTAATTAGTTTAGTTAATTGTTTAATCTTTTTATTACTGTATTAATTATACATTTCAATTAATTAGCTAGCTAGCTAGGGAGCTAAATGAATCACGCATCATCACTCCATATATTGTTTTGGGTCACATAAATCAATTCATAAATAATCGTTGATTGACATGTTTAGTTTGCGTAATTATTGTTATTATTTCAAAGCGACCGAATGTATCGTTTGCATGTGCAGATGTGGTGCTAAACATGTCCAATTACTTTCTCGCATCTTTCCAAAGTCAAGACTTTGAGTCAATTCAAGCAGCCACTTGAGCATGGACCATCATACAGAAATGAATATAATGAGTACGAGTATGTATTAATACTATACTATGCATCCGAATTAGAGATTTTGAAGCATAAATTGCGTGTTTTTTTTAATCTAGGGCATGGTCTTGAGATCAAGAGTCTCTTTTATGACCCCTCATTTAAATTATCTCACAATGTTTTAAGAATTAATCTTTTATGACCACATTGAAATGTAATTTCTATAAAAACGAATAAGTAAAAAAGTGTTCCAACTCTAAGAATATGAACTAATATTAAAGTTTTAGAATACCCCTCTTATTAGCTTGACATTTTACGATTGGAACATCAATTCTTAATATAAAAGCAGAGCTAATTTAGATCCAATTAGCGATTAGATCCGGCTAAGTCTAAACAATAAGCACACAGACTACAAAGTTGATATGATCCAATGAGTCACCATCTTGTGAGCTAGGGCATATCAAGTCACTGGTCTGGTCTGGTCGGAATTGGTCTAGTTTAGTCTGGTAAATGTTAGGTCTTTGTGTATTTTACAATTGTCAAAGTCTGGTATAGTATGGTCTGGTCTGATCTGGTCGGAATTGATCTAGTCTGGTATGGTAAATGTCATGTCTCTGTGTACTTTACAATTGTCAAAGTCTGGTGTAGTATGATCTGATCTAGCCTAATCTGGTCTGATCTGGTGTGGTTTGGCCTGGCCTGGGAGTGATTTAAGTCAGGGCAAAAGCATCCTAACTTATGAAGCCTCGGATTACTCCTCAATCAGCTTGATCTCTTAGGATAAAATTTCAAATCTTAATAACGATTTTAATAAAATTAGAAAATGAAATTAAAAATGAAAGAGTGGCAGCGACCGAACCCTAGCTAAACCCTTGGCCGCCGCCTCCAAATTCTCACGCAGGTGGATAGCAATTAGATTGGCGTGGCTTGGAAAAAGGGCGAACAACAAGTGGGATTTTGTTTTGGTGGCAGAGCTTCGACCGTCACGAGGCAGAGAGCAAGGGACCGATTTGGCACTTTGGCTTAGTTTTGAGGTATTTTCGATCTGTTTTCTTCCGCCTGAGCTTTAGTCTCTGGCCGAGTGTTGTACTATGTTTCTTTGTAAACATTGCTGCTGTGCAAGGGGCTCTTGGGAGCGGTAGTTTTGTTCTCCGATTCAGTTTTGTTCAAGTTCGTTTGTAGCAGTCCGTGTGCTTCTGTTTCTGTCGTAGGGAAGTTCTTGTCATTTGTTTGTTTTTTCACTTTAATCATGGAAAAGATAGCGGAAGAATATGGTAGGATATCGATTGCGGAAGAAGAAAACAGTGGTTTGGTGTTTGAGTCAGGGGCTCTCAATGTCCATAAAGGGGAAGAACAGAACCCGCGTTTCGTTGATGTTGCTAGAGTCATCATGGATAAACCTGTCTGTCCTGTCTCTTTTAGAGAAACAATGGCCATGATTTGGCGTCCGAGCAGAGGGGTGAGTATTGAGCAGATAGGAGATATGAGTTTTATGCTTCAATTCTTTCATGAGAGTGATATCTCATGAGTTCTGGAGGATGGGCCCTGGTCTTTTGATCAGAATCTGGTTGTTATAAGTAAGGTGGGAGAGAGGGACACACCACTAGAGGTGGAGCTTAACCATGCGGAATTTTTGGTTCAAATTCACAATTTACCCCTCAGCTTTATGACTGAGACAGTGGCAATTGGAGTTGGCCGATACTTGGGGAGACGGGTAAAGATTGACGAAAGAAATCTGAAAGGGAAAAGCAAGGAGTTTGTTCGAATCTGTGTGTCAATTGATATTAGGAATGCCTTGAAGAGAAGAACTCAGTTAAGGGAGGACGGAGATGGTTGGTTCTGGGCGTACTCCAAATACGAGAGGCTTCCAAATTTATGCTTCATATGTGGGGTTCTAGGACACACCGATATATATTGTCCCTCGAACAACAATGCAGGACCTTGGGTGGGAGATAAACCGTATGGCTCTTGGATGAGGGCAGATATGCGTCGAGGGGGAACCCATCCGGGAAATAAATGACTTGTACCGAATTCGGGGCGCAAGGGGAAGAGTGTTATGGAGGCAGAGGTAAGACAGAGTCAGCTGGTGGGATGTTAGGAGAAGGGCGCTGGTGTGGGATGTTATTTGGTACATGGCCTAATCTCGCGAGGGAAAGAAAAAGAGGGGAGGGCGGAGGAACCACAACAGGACAGGAGTTTAGAGGAGGGCGAATCCCGAAAGAGAAGAGCAATGGACTTGTACCGAATTCGGGAAATAAATGACTTGTACCGAATTCGGGGCGCGAGGGGAAGAGTGCTATGGAGGCAGAGGTAAGACAGAGTCAGCTGGTGGGATGTTAGGAGAAGGGCGCTGGTGTGGGATGTTATTTGGTACATGGCCTGATCTTGCGAGGGAAAGAAAAAGAGGGGAGGGCGGAGGAACTACAACAGGACAAGAGTTTAGATTATCTTTGTGAAAGGTGGAATTTATGGTATAATAGTTTGCATAGATAAGAAAATAACTTGGAATAACAGGTCATCAACCGGTCGGGGACCAGTGAATGAAGATGAGGTGCAAAGGTTGGATTATTCATGAATAATGAAAAGGTCGGACTATTAAAAGTAGACCACTAAAAGGTTCGATTATTAGTTTCCATTTTCCCTAAAAAAAATATTTTTCGATCAATCTGAGGTGATCACAATGGGGCATGTGTGGAGATGGGAAGGTGTAGGCATTGGAGAGAGCATATATTTAAATTAGTTAAGCAAAAAATTAGTCACGTTTAAAAAGAGGGTCACATTTTTTGAAAAAACATAAAGGTGGAGTTTAAGTCATTTTTTCACATTTTAAGGGGAAAAGGCCTTAAATAAGACTAAATTTATTCCTAAATGCACAAAAGAGACTAAACTAATAATTAAATGCATAAATAGGACCATGATATTTATCTTCCCAAAATAACACTAAAGTATACTCTATGTTCGTATTCTACCCTTACCATAAGTGTAAACACATAAAAACTATAATAAAATCATAAAAATTAAAAATATTAAAAAAATTAAAAATTAAAAAAATCTCAAATAAATAAAAACAGATCAAAACATAAAAAATGGAAACCTTTCCCGCAATCCCTGTCACCTCCTATCGACGAAAAAATGTAATTATGTTTTAAAAAGGACACTTTTTCTCTGAAAAATGATAGGAAGATGACATTATTACTCTTTGGAAATGCCAAAACTTTCTCTAAACTTGCCACAAGATATGACATTACTGACACAAGTTGGCATTGTGTTTCGGTGGTCAGACCTAATGATGCTGGAAGGTGGTTGAGGCGGCAATAGAGGCCTGCATTTTGCGTTTTTAATTTTTTTTTAAATTTTGTTATGCGTTTTTTGTAGGACTAAAGATTCCCTAAAATGCACAAATAGAACTACTACATTTTAAACCCCCTCAAATAGGACTAAATATTGCTTTCTACCCAAGATACCCCTATGGGTATTAATTCATCATGAAATGTGTTAATTCCTAATAAAATCTTAAAAAATAATAATAATTGCAAATACATTAAACAATGGAAAAAATATATTAAAAATCGTAAAAAAAATTAAAAAATATTAAAATTAATAAAAAAAATTGATTTTTTTAAATTAATAAAAATAGTAAAAACCCATAAAAATAGATACTTTTCCCATCGCCTCCCAGCACCACCACCTTCGATCAGTGAAAATTCTTTCACTTTTGGTAATAAATGCCAAGAAAATGGCATTATTACACTTCATAATGCCAAAATTCTCGTTGAACCTGCCATTATGATGGTATTACTAAAAATGTTGGCAGATTTCCAACCGGTGATGGGAGCTGGTGGTGCTAGGGGGTGGCAGAGCCGGTGATTTTTTTCGTTTTTTTTTTTAATTTTTTATGTCATAAATATTTTATAAATATTTCATTATTTTTTAAGTTTTTTATTACCTTTATTATTATTTTTTATGATTTTCTAATTATTAATTAAGATATTTCAAAAGCTACAAGGATATATTTGTCCAATCACACATAAATAGTCCTACTAGGGGAGATTAAAAAAATGTAGTCCTATTTTTGTTCTTTGGTCACTTTTTTGTCCTATTTAGGTAATTCACTTTACTTTTATATATGTTGCATTTATTAATGAAAATATAAGTTGTATTAAAACAAAGCAAGGTTAAGATTGTAAAGTTACTTCTATTTATGGAACTTTAAAGTTTCGTTTAGGATGTTTTTAATTGAATTGAAAATTTCTGCTCTGGACTGGTCTAGTTTGGTGTGATCTGGTCTGATCTTGTCTAGTTTGATAAATGTCTGGTCTCTGTGTATTTTACATCTGTGAAGTCTAGTATGCTTTGAGCTAGTCTACTTTGATCTGGTTCGATATAGTCTGGTCTGAAATTGAAATAAGTCCAAGTAAAAATATCCTTAGTCCTATTTGAAAATCTTCACTTTTATTTCAATCACCTTTATTAATTTATTTAGCAACAATATATACAATGTGTATTGACTATTCACTTATTCGTGAATGAGCTACTTTTTTGGGGTTCCAACATCAATAATACAAAATAAAAACTCATGTGAGATTAACTTTAAATATTTCCAAAAAAGAGATCCACGTGACTTTTGTACCACTTTCCAGTTACAGTTACATGTTCCAACCAGTTACAATTACGTGATTCGATCAATTACAGTTATCTGACTCAATCAATTACAATTACTAGACCTGCGCACGCCGTATGTTTCGCTCCACAAATGCCATTTAGGGGCGCATACCTTTAAATTCTCGAGTACACGTAGGCATCACATGGTTTTCATAACCCTCATCAGCACAAAAATGAAGGATGAAACTCACATCCTTTTTGGGTGGACAGAGAACATGAGTCAAAATTGTGATTACTCTGTACATCATCGGAAGCTTAAAACATGTCTCAATGCAAAGATTCAGAGCAACACCGTAATTGAACTGCACCATACAAAAGTCTTCTTCTTCCTCATAAATGTTATGAAAATTCAAAACACCTCCTCTAGACTCTGTATCACTCTCTATGTGAGCATCCCAACTCTCATTAACACTGTTCTTATCAATGTCTTCTTGGATGATGTTGTCACTATATGATGGTTCTTCTTTCAAGGGGAGAGACACTTCTTTATTGTGATCAGTTCCTCAAGGTGATTCCCATCAGTATGCGTGAGAACCTCCATTTGTCCACTCTGCTGATTGGCTTCAGTGTCGCTAGGATGAGATCTCTCAAACTCCTCAGATAGGGCGTTTAACAACCGATCCAATTGATTCTGTATGGTCTGAAAACCTGCAGCAGTCGTTTGTATAGCCTTCTTGAGTGATTCTTCCAAGTCAAACAACTTCTCTGAAATTGTCTCTTCCAATTGATTCTGTAGGAGAGGCTGAAACATCCGTGTTTGTAAATTGTGGGGAGGAAGAAGTGGGGTCATATGGAATTTTAAAGAGGCAAAGACATAAATGGTGACCTCCTCCACCCTAGGAACAAATGCTATTCTTAAAGTATTCAGATAATTCCTCAGGAGTTTTAGATTGGAGAAGATATTCAAGAATGGAGCCTCGTCTTACTCTTACCCAAGGGTATTGCGATGAAGTAAGAATCAGATTGAAAGGCTTGTGTGGTTGGAGGGTACGGATAAGAAGGCTGAGTATTTTGTGGTGTAGGAGAGTAATATTGATGAGGAGTGTAAGGAGGATAGGGCATATATGGTGAATATTCCGTGGAGGTTTGAGGGAATGATGTTCCTCCAGGAATTGGGCTGAATGGGTTCATCTCATGCCTCTTAAGAACAAGTACCTGAAAAGTTAGCACAGAAAAATCTTACGGAAAAACTGAAACAAATCGCTGAAATTAATTAATCCTTAAAACCGACACCGTCCCGGCAACGGCGCCAAAAACTGATGTGAGTTTTCTCGCACTTAAAATAGATAGCAATGTAGGTTGTAAGTACAAGTATCGTCTCCACAGGGACGGAAAAAGAGATTCAAGAATTAATTAAATTCAGCGATTAAACTAAATAAAATAAAAGCGTCGTGCGAGATTGATTGAATGAGAAAAAAAACTAATGCGAATGAGCGGCTAAAAATAACGAAGTCTCTCTAATTAACGGCGAATGGAACATGAATTGATTCCGGGGTAGTCATATTTTTGGCAGATTAGGCTCAATTACATGAAAATTTATTAACTGAGAACTGCTAAACAATGCTTAGTTCTAACCGCTCTCGCGGCGTAGAGACAATAATTTAGGGAACCGGGCTGATCTCTCATGCGACATGTATCTAAAATTATTGCCAAAAGGAGCGAGCGTACGGCCCCTTAATCACTACTAATCTCTTAGCGAACGATTAAATGTGTGTGAAGGTGTCCTAGAATAAATTAGATCTCTCTTAATTTATTCTATGTGCAATTATAATCCTAGCAGCTGTTCTAGGTTACAAGAGATATCAATTTAATTATTCAAACACAAATTAAATAAAGATCCATGCAATTAATCCATCAAGAAAATATCCATACATCATGATCAACCCCTTCATCAGTCTCAAATCCCTAATTAAAACTACTCACAATTCATAACTGGAGAATCAATAGAATTGGAATACAAAGAATTAATTGTCATTAATTAAAAAGATGGAACTTACAAAGATTCCCAAAACATTGATGAACAAGGCTGAAAACTCTCTAAATTTCGTGGTAGGCACTCTCTCTAAGCTCCCCCACGAAAATGGGAGTTTACAGGCTGTTTAAATAGAAAAAATGGAGCAATTCTAACCGAAATAGGACACCGAGAGCGCACGCACGGCACCCACGCACGGAATGCATCCTCCAGTGCATCCGAAGCAATGATATGCGAAATTTTGGGTGGGATCGGTCCGGTCTGGGTCGGGTTTTTGCTAAACTCGGAAATTACCCGGAAGGTCTCGGGTTATGAAAATTAGGGACCGGAACAAAGCCCATTATATTCGGTCCGAGTCGGGTTTTTGGTAGCCCGGATTCGGTCCGGGTTCGGGTTAGACCGGTTAAAGCCCGGCCGTGAAATATGTCATTGTTTTATATTTTAACACTTATTTTCAAATAAAATTAATCAAAAATACAAACCGCAAATAATAACACAAATATTAGTCTCCAAAATCACCAACAATTCAAATTTAAAGAAGATAATTATCTTAATATTTTATGTAAGATGTATATATATAAATAATATAGGTTTTTTAAAAATATTACGAAATAAATTTTATAAATCAAAAAGTTACTAGAGTTGCTATAAATATATTCTCATGGTCATCATTACGCTAAACAAATTCAATATATTTGTAGTCACTAAAAGTTACTAAATCTTTTTTTATCCACCGTGATTATAATCATATATTAAGAAATATTTTATTTATATTCATATACTATATTAATTTTATATTAAAAGTAATTGTTTCAGGTTTTTTCGGTCCGGGCCGGGTTATAGATTTTAAGGCCCGTTAATGAGCCCGGAATTTTCGGTTCGGTCCGGGTTTTTTTTAAATTCGGGCCGGTTAAAAAGAAAAAACCCAGACCAGGATCATAATTCGGGTCGGTCCAGGGTCGGTTTCCGGGTTTCGGTTCGGTTTTTCCCACCCCTACCCATATGCACGGCGTGCGTCATACTTCCGAATTTACCTATGCTTCATTCATGAAAGTTGTAGATAATGAAGTCCTCTATCCACCACAACTTGCAAAACTAGATTTGAATCATCCAATCCAAAGATATGAATAAAATGGTGGAAGGTCGCATTCTCAAATCTCAACAGCGATCATCTGACTTCATTGTCTGTTTGCACCTTGCTCCTCTCAGATTCTTGCAATGATGTCCTCATATGATTTGTAGACCTTGAAGTTGGCTTTCATATGGAACTTGAATCGTGTCCTTTGGATGTTTCTACAAAACGATATGTTTGAACGATTGACAGAAGGTCATTCTGATCGCCGTTATCAAGCTCTATTCGTCTTCTTTTGATATCGTAGCAAATCCTAGAGCTCTTTTGCCTTCAAATCTTCACCATGAACCTCCCGATGACCTCCAAAGCTCTCAAATCACTATCGAATACTTCTCAACTCATCCCAATTGCTTTTCAAGCGCCAGTGCCGGGCTCAAATTCCCTGATTTTGACTCCAACAATACAAAACTCGAACCAACGCCCGGTAAACATGACTTGAGCTAAAATTGAGACTTGTGACACCTTAAAGATAGGAAACCCATCAAAATCCGATCCTAGCATGCATCAAATGTGTGTTGTAATATGAGCTTATCAAATTCCCCCACACTTAAGCTTTTGCTTGTCCTCAAGCAAACTGAACAACAGGACTTACGATAATCACCATACGAAATCAAAACAATTAGCATGCACAGGTAGTTACAGGTAGGGGTGGGATCGGTCCGGTCTGGGTCGGGTTTTTGCTAAACCCGGAAATTACCCGGAAGGTCTCGGGTTATGAAAATTAGGGACCGGAACAAAGCCCATTATATTCGGTCCGAGTCGGGTTTTTGGTAGCTCGGGTTCGGTCCGGGTTCGGGTTGGACCGGTTAAAGCCCGGCCGTGAAATATGTCATTGTTTTATATTTTAACACGTATTTTCAAATAAAATTAATCAAAAATACAAACCGCAAATAATAACACAAATTTTAGTCTCCAAAATCACCAACAATTCAAATTTAAAGAAGATAATTATCTTAATATTTTATGTAAGATGTATATATATAAATAATATAGGTTTCTTAAAAATATTACGAAATAAATTTTATAAATCAAAAAGTTACTAGAGTTGCTATAAATATATTCTCATGGTCATCATTACGCTAAACAAATTCAACATATTTGTAGTCACTAAAAGTTACTAAATCTTTTTTTATCCACCGTGATTATAATCATATATTAGGAAATATTTTATTTATATTCATATACTATATTAATTTTATATTAAAAGTAATTGTTTCGGGTTTTTTCGGTCCGGGCCGGGTTATAGATTTTAAGGCCCGTTAATGAGCCCGGAATTTTCGGTTCGGTCCGGGTTTTTTTAAATTCGGGCCGGTTAAA